AATTTTTTAAAGGTCAGTTGTTCATCTTTTAACTAGATAAAACATTTTTTTATGTTTGTTCTACTATAATGGTTTTATTGTAAAGCTTTTTGTTCATATGTAGTAAGCTACCTTAGTTTTCAGTATTTAAGGACTTCTACACTACTAAACATAAGCATTTCTAAGTCAAATGTGTTTAGATTTTTCTTTTTTTGCACAAGAATATTAGAATAATTGATTTTTATTATTTTGGCATTATGTTGTGAGTTGTAATTGCACATTTCTGCTTATACATTGTCAAAGTACAGTTGCTAAATATAACGAAAATTAAACAGTAATCATGGGGAGAAACTAGAGCAAGAAAACACAATGAAAAAAAAAGTTAAAATCAGTAATACAAACATATTAAAAAATGTATAATTTAAATGAAAACTGTGTGTGTTGTTCAGTGTTGGAGAGTGCTGTTTGATGTGGAGGGTTTCTTTGATCAATAATTCCAGGTCAGTATTAAACTTGCAGAGGATAGAGAAATTTCATAGTATAGGTTGATGTCCTGTTTCTTCACTATGTTGGCTTATAGAGGAAACACAGAGGTTATTCAATTTTTTTTGCGTTTTGATGGAAATTCCTATATGTTCATAGGCTCTGACTTTTAAATGGTGTTTGGTTTTGCCAATATTTAAATTGTATATTTTTTAATATGTTCGTATTACTGATTTTACCTTTTTTCTTTTTCGTTGTGTTTTCTTGCTGTAGTTTCTCCCCATGATTACCGTTTAGTGTTTTATTTGTTTAATTTTCATTATATTTAGCAACTGTACTTTGACAATGTATAAAGACTTATGTAAATTCATTTTATTCTGCTTTAGATACTGAAGATGGAATCTGATAGAATTCCGAAACGTTTATCCACATTTCTGTTGTTTTAACTTCCAGGTCTTTCTTTACGATGTATAGTCAGCTGGCAGCTATTGTGTCTTAAAGTACCTTACCCCTGACACAGTAAAATTTGGGGTATTCCTATTTATTGTCCAGTATGTAAATGTTTATATAACCCAAGTTGATTCGACTGATGGACCGTTCTTTCTTCTTCAAGATAATTCACAATTTGCCCCTGAAAAAGAAAGGTCAACCTTTTCAAAGTACTTGGGTCACAGAGTATTGTATCTTTGTGTTAAATTGACTTGGTTTTCTAAGACCATGAATGTGAATGTTTATGTATAACATCCAGTTCTTTACATGAAATATAACCTCTTTCTAGAATATTAAATCCTTGAATTCCTAAATCTTCACAGAATAACTCAAAACCAGCATAACCATTGAATTGACGACCATGATTTATTATTATAACTATTTAATGTGAAACCTGCAACAGGCTTAGGTATTTACCTAACCAAGTTTTAATAATTCTTTGCGTGTGTGGATTTTTTTTCTAATATTTTAAAGTACTTTTCAAAAAATATGTATTCTCCTTTTTTAACATTTTCAGATTGACTTTTTCTATTTTGATGTTTTATGATGTAATGAGAGAGAATGTTCAATTTCAAATATAATTCTCTGATTATTCTGTAAGTTTGTTACTATTTTTATGCCTGGATCGGTGTCTAGCTGACTATTTGACCTCGTAGCCTTTTTTTTCTCAGCCCGATAAATTTAAATTGTTTTATCTCTACATATGTCTGATTTAATATCTAAACTTCCAGTGTCTTATTAAACAACTAGCAGAGATCCGTAAAACATTTGAGGTCAAATTAGTATATTTATTGTAACAGTACTTCATTTTAATTAAATACGGGATTTTTAGAACAATACAAAAGAATTATAATCGCAAACACCGAAATCTGTATGTCCACTTGTTTTAGGCCTAACATTAGTTAAGCCTATATTAAGCATTAAAAGACATAAATTAACGATGTAAATTGTGTATGTTTTTTTCTGCTTTAGTTCAGTTACGGCTAAACTTTACCGTATCGGCAAATAAACTTATATTGTTACTCTACGAACTAACGTTAGACCTTCTTAAGAACTTTGATAAGCTTTTAATATGTTGTTGTACAAAATGTCTGCTAAAGTATACTTACATCCGTTGAAATGAAGTGGGCACGCATTTTCAAGTGAAAGAAGAACTGAATATTATAAATTTTCCAGGTTAGCACTTACGTAGTGTGTATACTTGCACTGCGTTAGGGAAGTTTAAAACATTGTAAATAACGGTCTAAGAACCCTTCTAAAGCTCTAGAAAACCAGACACCTTTTCTCGTGTATATTTGTAATGCTTTTACTTGTCGTTCTATCTTTTACAAAAAGTAGTGTGAAATTGTGAATGAAATAAAAAAATCATATACACATGCCGAATGAATAAAGAAATAATTGTTTTTCATTTTCTCAGGGAGGCAAGTGCCCCTCTTCGGACGCCTATGTGTAAGTTTGATATTAATTAATAATATTAAGATCGCAGTGTACGAATCTCGTCCCCAAATATGCTCGCCCTTTTTCAGCCGTGGGGAGCATTATAATATGACGGTGAATCCTACTATTCATTAGTAAAGAGTGACCCGATTGTTGACTGTAGGTGATGTTGACTAACTGCCTCCCTCTAGTGTATCACTTCAAAATTAGGGACGACAGTGGTAGATAGTATTCGAGTCGCTTTGCACAAAATTCAACAAAAATTTCCGAAATACTTAGCTTTCATCAAAAAATCCTTTATACTAAACTTTTTGCCAACTGATGAAAATCGCAGAAGTATGAGACCACATACATGTATTATCGTGAATTATTTAGGTATCCATACGTGCTGCTAAAGTTAATATATCTATAGTGTTGCTAAGCGATAACATGCCCATCCTTTTCGCTTTAAGTTTAGGTTTCAGTTTGAAGTTTGTTCAAAACAACAGATATGTACGATTAACTTGGATATTTTAGTTTCTAAAAAAAGCTTGTAAGCACTAGATATTTGTTTGTTGGAAAGGGGTTCTAGATTTTCAACATCGGTCATTTATATTTTATGTATTTCTCTCACCTCGCAATCTTTCGAGTCATTTGTTATGCGTCTTCGCTACACCTGAGGTTTTTTTTTACTATATATATTGTAACCTTGTTCAAACCATGCGAAGCCGTTTATTCCGCTGTATAATTTGTATTATTAACTTACTTCCTGTTCTGTAACGGTGTAAATTATAATTATAATTTTGTTAATTCTATGAAATGGAGAAAAAAATTAAAATAAGGATTGTTTTTTGTTGTTTTTTTTTAAGTAGATTCCAAATTACAGCTCTCATTTATTCGTTTATGTAAATGTATTAGGTGCCGAGCATGGCCTAGTAGTTAGCGTGATGGTCTGTGGAGCTTTGATGGTTCGGGTTGCCATAAAATCGCTCCCCTTTAATTAGGAGCCACGGATGCGTTATAAAAGTCATGGTCAAATCCCACTATTCAATTAGAGTAGCCCAAGAGTTGGCGGTGAGCGCTGTTGACTAGCTTCTTTATATTCTATCAGTTCAAAGCTTTTGTGTAGCTTTACGCGAATATTCGAAACAAACCTAACCTAGCGGTCACAGATCGGAATGTCCACGGTTCGAACCACGATATGCCGCAGAACATAGGGTGTTAAAACCGTGACAGTCAATCCTGATATTCGGTTGAGAGTATTAGTGCAGATGATGGGTTCTACTGAATGGTTGTCCATCCTCTGCTCAGTATAGTTTTAATCTTGAGTTGTATGACCTGGCTGCTTAGCTCAGGTAGCATAAATGCGTGTTTCAAGTTAAAACACAAAAACCGTTTCAGTGTGCGTGTGTATATATATAATTGTTTAGTATGGAGCTTCCTTCCTAAACATTAACATTTT